TTCAGGCAGTAAATGGGCAATTGAAATTGAAAAAGTACAGGCATTAATAGTTGACCTTTGCGCTGGAAAGTTTCAAAACCAATTGAAATTAATTTCAAACAATTATAATTTTATTAAAAAAAAAGTATTAAAGAAAATTTAAAAAAAGTGGAAAGAAACGACAAATTTTTTGAAGGATAAAACAGCCAAATAAATGTAAATACTTATAAAACAAAAATAATTTGTACTGTCTTTTTGATAAGATTACATAAAATTCAAATCGAATTTAGTATTAACAAAATGCCTCAGCAAAGTAATGAAGCCCTCCGCCTGTGCGCCTGCGCTTGCGCATTGCCAACGACCGCACCCACCACATCCGTCACAGCTAACGCGACTATCACAGCTGTAGCAATAAGACAAATGCACTTCTTGCCAAATGCAGCGATATGCAGAACGCTTTTAATGCAAATTGCAATTATCTGCCTGCTCTCAACTGTAACTTGTGATTCAACACCCGCAACTTCGCCCGCATTTGATTCAGAGTCAGCGCCAATGCCTGCCTACTCACCACCGTTTGCCGCCCTGAGTACGAATGGCGATGAGCAGGCCTTCATAACGTCTTATAGACGCCTCAAGCGCACGCCCAACCTAGTTGCTGATAAAAGCCATGTTGCGGCGTCTACAGACACCGATGACGACTACTACGACGAGGAAGAGGAGGAGGAAGTGCGAGCCGGAAATGGGAACGAAAATGTCAGTGTACGTCAACGCCGTCATCAGCAGTTGGCATTGCCATCGTCTCGCTTTGGTTATGATGGCACCACAATTAAGCCGCAACAGTTCTATGCGCCACAGAAAGCGCTCTTTAACGAAATTGGTGGCCATGATAGCAGGTCATTGAATTCATCGATAGCGGCGCGTATCAATAATGATTTATCGGTTTGGAGTTTACGGGAAGATGATAAACGTACGGATTTATGTGATGTATGCAATTGTAGCGGTGATCCTTTTGTTGAAATCAGTTGTGATTATAATCAACGAAATGCGAGGGTAAGTGAAATTCTTTGTTCTCCTTTAGTTTGATAGACGATACATAGAAGAATTTTTATCTAGAGATGGTTGTCGTTTTTATGTATGGATATAGAATTGATTCGTTAGTTTGTAGTTGGCCAGCCCCCTGTGGCTATAATTTCAGAATCCTCTCATTTAGTATACGGGTCATTTGTCACAATTCTATCCTTTATAGAATATGTTCTTATGTAAATGCATATGTATGTATCTAAGTACTTTCGATTGCCATTTGTGGGCCATTTTAAATGTGTACGTAGCACAAACATTTTTATTTGCATCATTCCAAAATGCTTTAGGTGTGAGACCTGTCTCTCAATAAATAATACTTTCAGCCTAAGCCAATTAAAAACACCAAGTGTAGCCAAGCGCCTCTCCACCTGTCCCTCCAACGCAGAGGTGGTACCGCATGAAATACATTTAGGCGCCTGAATCCATTCGAACGATATGTATGACCTAACCAGCACAGCCGCTACATTTTAATTCGCTGAAATTTGTCATTATCGCCGTAACACCCGATTTACATGATTCAAGTACTTGAAAGCAATTCTTGCTCATTCTCCTTTGTGTTTTCTTTTTGCTTTTACACGTTTCAATTCTGTTGAATTCAAGTTTTTGGTTCTTTAAATGGGAAGCAACGAAAATGCTAAAAGCAAAGCAAGAAAGTTGAAACGACTTGACGGTACAGACGCATGTGTACTCGTCCCTTTTCTTCTCACCCCCTCTCTTCCACATGCGAGCAGAATTGAATTCAATACTTGAACTGTGTAAAAGCAGTCTAAGGTTAATTCGGCCCACTGTTCCAACGTCTGCTGCATTTGCCGATGCCAACGTAAATCTTCCGCAGAATCTTTATCTCCAACACTCCAAGCGCCGCCGCATCGGAAGTTGACTTATATTGTGGTTTTTGTACGACGAGAAAAGACTTACCTTAAGACTTAAGACTTAATTTGTATGAAGCATACCAAAATAACGCGGCGTCAACGCTAAGCGGTGGGAAAATCCGATTTTTACAGGGCGTTAGGTAGTGAAGTTGGCTGTAGAAAACGGCGAAACTGTCATTTTCGTGTTACACACAAACAAATCTATGTTTATTGTCGGTGTGATTTCTGCATTTGACGTAGCGTTGACGCTTTTGTTTAGGTATGACACTTCGGCGTTAACGCTAGGCGTCAGAAGCAGCTCCGCCCAGCGCTGTTGTTTAGGTATGGCCGTAAAACTCACATTATAATTTCCTATATGTACACATACATATGTATGTATGTTTGTATGTATTACAAGTACATGTATGTACAATAGGGTGGTCCAAAAATGCATCGAAAAAATTATACCCCTATGTTTTATTTACAAAACAAAAAAAATTTAGAGGTCGCTAAAAGCGCCCGAAGTTTTCCATGTATTTTATATGGGAAAAACCCCCTTTTCGTAGAAATGGTGTAGAATTCTAAAAAAAAACAATATTTTTCTATGGGAAAACTCTTTTCATCTGCAGAAGGTTCCCAATAATAATACCCAATTATTTATTTAACCATTTTTTCATCGCAACTATAATTTATAGGTCCGCCAAAAACCCACAAAAACCCCGAAAAATGCAATGGGGGGACAAATAAAAAATCGTTAGTATTAAAAAATGGTTAACTAAATAATTGGGTATTGTTATTGTAAGTCTCCTGAAGAGAACCAGAGTTTTCCGATCTTAAAATATTGATTTTCAAGAATTCTATACCATTTCTACGAAAAAAATACATGGAAAGCTTTGAGCGCTTTGAGCGACCTCTAAATATTTTTTGATTTTAAAATAAATAAACAACAGGGGCATACTTTTTTCATATAGAACAACCGTAGGGGGTGAGAGCATTACAATTCCGACTTTACTGTTTTTGGGCCACCCTAATGTACATATTATACATTATACACTGTACAAACACACGTTCATATAAGCATTTCTTGTGAATCGCTACTTCAATTACGAGTATTTAACATTAGCATACGAATATCTTTAGTTGATCAGCGCTGAGTAATCCCTCAGATACTGCGTTGTAGACGAGACCCCCAATCAGTTAAATTATATAATATATTTTACTTAAATGCATACACATGTATATGCATACATACATACAATTACTACATACTTTTTTCAACTCAAGTAAAAATTTTGCAAGATTTGTATTACGAAAAAAACGGCGCAAAAAGAGGAAAGAGGGACAAATTCACGCCAATATTATCGGCATTACATTTTGCAGGGCCGCATTCATGCATACATATGTACATACATATGTTTTTCTCTAAACGCACATAAATACTAAATTTAGATAAATGTAGAATCAACAAAATGTTCATAAACAATTGCGCCGGCATGGCCGCGCTATATACATATCATATATTATATGTACATACATATATAAGTACATAGTACATGCACATACTACTGTATGATACACGAATGCAGAATGAATAATTAAATTGAATAAAAATAAAAACATGAAAACAAATGCATAAATATATTTATATGTACATGCATGCATGTGTGTGGGTCATCAATAGCTTTTTCGCACGTTTTTAGATGAATCTACCAAATGACAGTTTCGCTTCCTTTAGTGTAGGCGGTTCTTGCGGTAAGTAATGGATGTTTACGTTGCTGATCACCTATTCATTATCTCGTTTTCTATATATTTTTTTTTTGTATTTTGTTTAGCGTTTCGAAATTTTTTAGGTGTGATAGCACTGTTCCACTTTTTTATTTATTCTAGTTTGTTTAAAAAAGTATTACATATTTATCTTTAAATACGAGAACATGCAATCAGTGCAACATTCTGTTATAAATGGTTGCTAATTTGTGAAGTAAAGTAAACAAAAGCAGCTGGCGATAAAGAAAACAAATGCCATTATTGAGTAATACTAAATGGACTTTTACACCCATTGGAACTGGCCTTAGCGAGAACAGAAACTGGCTAATCTCTGTACTATGTACATATCGCACTGCCATCTGTTGCGTGTAATTCCACTTGGCAAACGAGCTAAACAGTCGACCAACCATTCCATCGACCAACCAACTACTAACTCACTAACCGGACAATCGGAGAACAGACTTAACCAGTTTGTCAGGTATGTTGATTGACGAAATTAGCATCGGGGAAAAGTGGCGTCAACAACACTAAATAAACGTGAAAAAGACAGACACATATAAATTCATGTAGGTAAATACATACATACAAACAAATATACGAGTATGTTTAGGCGGATGTGCTTATAAATAAAAACAAAGCAGCCATAGATTGTCACACCGGCGAGCATATACCTAGTATCTATGTACATATATGGTATGTGTGTATATTGTTTATAAATACATGCATTTATCTTACATTATTTTTGTACATACATATATATATTTTAACGTGTGCGTTTAACATTGAAGTAAATATGTAATAATATAAATTTTGAGGAGTGGTTCCACTTTGCGTGTAATTGTTGGAGCTGAACGTGAAAATTGCATGCAGCCCAAAAGGGGGAGAAAAACAAAAGCAAAATAAAACTTTTGATATGGGGCACTCCATAGCGATATGCACTGGTCGCAGAAATCATAGAAACGTCTTATTTTGACCAGTTTTGACTACGTTTCTTTTGTTTATTTAATGCTTAATAATTTTCTATAAAAGTCTAGCTCGTAACATATGTAAATCAACATTTCAACCTTTGTACAGAACTCACAAAAAATTTTGTAATTTTAAAAATTTGTTATCTAAGAAATTTTTTCACTTTGCAATCAGAGTTTTTAGAAAAATTCTGGGTATGTGGTTTTGTAGCCCATTTAATTCTAGTATAATAATGTGTAAGTATCAAGTGGCTAAAATATTTTCGCAGAGGGTGGAGGTCCACTTGAAACATACATATGTACATTCGACTGCATCACCATAAAAGTTGCGGTTTTTCCGCCGGAATTACAAAATGTATTATACTCGCAAGACGTCCGCCAAAATATTTCGGAAAAATATTAAGATTTACGTGAGCTGGAGCGATTTGAAAATACCTCCAAAAATGGGGTTTTTTATGAATAAAAATAGTTTCTTAAAGAACTTTTTGAAAAAAATCCAGCTACTTTAAACTTGCAATTTATTAAACTAAATTACAAAACTTCATATAGGCATTTTTCAAGAAAAGGGAAGTCAGAAAGTATAAACTGATGTCAAAAAAAAAAAAATACGTCCATCTGTCACGATCCCCGGCTATAAGAATTTTGAATCGCAAAATTTTTTTCTTTCCGCTCCACCCTTATGTACACTCACATAACTTTTCCTTATTTTGCAATGTAATTATTTCTCAGGAACAGTTGAAGTTAAAATTTAAATAAATACAATAAATAATACCATTTTTAAGAAGTTTGTGCAAATAGAAAGAATGTTTTTTGCAGTGTAAGAAACAAGATAAATTTCTTTCATTTTTTTGATTAATTAAAACTTAAACCTTTCAAGTGTTTATCGCAGTTAGAGAAAATATTTAAATAATAAGTACATAATAACAAAAAAAAAATATTTTCAATGAAAAAACTCTGAGCCAAAAGTAGTTTGGTTATGCAAGCATTCCTTCTTTCGAACAACCTGTATCTACCAGGTTTATACATCTACTAGCATTGTGGATATTTTGCGGAAGATATACGGGCCCTTACGCATTGGTCGACGACGTAACGATGCCCTGTATGAGCTCCGCTGCCTTGGCCATGCCATTCGTATGGACACCGACGCTGCAGCTCTGAAAGTATCCAACTAGGAACCGGCTAGTGGTGGCAGAGGAAGAGGGAGGCCACCACTGCGTTGGAATGACCAAGTGGAGAAGGACTTGGCTTCACTTGGCATTTCCAATTGGCGTCAGTTGGCACAGAAGAGACACGACTGGCGTAATTTGTTGAACTCGGCTAAAATCGCTTAGGCAGTTACAGCACCAAATAAGAAGAACAAGAAGATATGTGCATATACAGTGGTGGAAAA